CGCGGCCGCCCCCACCCCGGGGGGCTGCAGCAGGAGCTGGCTCTTTTCTTCCTCCTCGTCGTCCTCAGCTGGGGTGGCTCTCTGAGGCTGCGGCGGCTGGGCTGGGTGGTGGTGGTGGTGATGGTGGTGGTGGTGATGGTGCGGGTGGTGGTTATTATGGTGGTGAGGATGGTGCTGGTGGCTATGGTTGTTGTCGCTCTGGACGGCTTCGGGCACCAGGCTATTGATGCTGAAGGACGACTTGGGCAGCATTTTCACTTCCTTCCTATCGCCCATGTCCAACATCACACTCTAGGCAGGAGGGGAAAGTCGCGCAGCCGGGAGGAGGACGAGTCAACGGGCGCGGCGAGGTCGGTCCTGGAGGGCGCAGCACTGGGCAGCAGTGAGGCGGCGGGAGCGGCTGGGCACTTGCACACCACGAGCTCCAGAGCTTTGCAAGGCATGAAGCAAGGACGGGAGCGGCTGTGCAGGGGATAGAAAAGACCAACTGGGTCCTAGCAAGGGAGCCAGAGCCAAGGCAACGGGAGGGGGAAAGGGGGGCGCAAAATGGTTCAAAAAGGGGATTTTCCAGAGGGCACGAAAATATGACTGCGCCCCCCTTGAAAAAAAAAAGGAGCCCCAAGTCCTTCTGTCCAAACTACTTCATGGTGCCTGGAACCCCCCTATTCCACCCGAGCAAGGGAGGGGGGGATCAGTAGCCGGGCTGAGGCTGAGAGCAGCAGAGACAGCTTTAGCTACAATTAATTTCAGAGCTACAGACACACACTAGGGCTGTAAAAAAATTTTTGGTTTAACCTTTCTCACCAGCTATCCAATCAAAGCGCGCGGCGTGCAGGGACGTCTCCCTTCCGGCCACCCAATCAGCACAGGGTTTTCTCCGCCTCTTCCCCTCGCTCTTTCGTCGACTCCTTCCTTTCAGCCCGCGCAGCCCTACCGGAGGGCGTAAGGATACAAATCGGGGGGGCGCATCACCGCGGCAGGTTACCTATGCCCTCCTCTTCCTTCTTTTCTCTTTCCTGGCAACACCCCTCCCCCCAAAGATGCCACTCTCCAGTGAAAACCATACACACACACACACACACATATATGGATGTATGGCTGTATGTCTGTAACGCCCATATACACGTCTCCCGTTTCTACTTGTGGGTGTACCCCCGCTCCTGCTGCCAAAGGGGGGGGGGGCGGTGGTCGAGAGGAGGGAAGAGGAAATGGAGGCCGAGGGGGAAAAAGGCACTACTTTGCGGAACCAGCCGCCGCGCCGTCTTACGGAGGCCCAACTTCCGCGGCCTCTCCCGCCTCGGGTCCCACGGCCGCTCGTTGGCTGACTTCTTGAAAGGAAAGTGGCCGTGGGGGCCGACCAGCCCTCCTTCAGCTGCGACGTACCTCACCTGCCGGAAGAGGGAGGGTGTGCTGTGTCGGGGGGCGTGGAGTCGGGGGGCGGGCGGCTGGCGGGCATGGCAACCGAGCTGTGGAAAGGCCGGGGGGCTGCCGGCGCTTCTCTGAGTCCGGGCGGAGGATCGGGCTTGTCCCTTTGGCCGGGGGGGTGCGAAGGCCATAAATAAAATAATAAATGAGCATCAGGTAATCCTTCTTCATCCGCTCCCCCGTCTCTTTAGTCTCGTCCCTCCTCGGGGGGCGATTTCCTCGCTCCGCGTCTCAGAGCGATGCTGGGCGCGCCTGCTCGACTCCGAAGGAAGGCCCGCGAGGTTCCAGATGAAACGGGGAGCCCCGCCCGACTCCCCTCTATTAAGGCTGTCTTGGACTTTTCTCTTCGCGGGAAACGCGTTCAGGGCAGGCGGAGGCGCTGCCTGTCGGCTGGGAAGCGGGATTCGCTTCAAAAGAAACACGCGGAATAGCGCAGCCTTAAGACGTCCGTTTTATTACTAAGTAGCAAAGCGAGGGGGCTGCTTTCTCTTTTTTCTGTTAGGAGAACCGGCCCTTTTATTTATTCATTCTTGATCATAAGCATACGTCTAGGTTACACACTGTGCACCGAGATCCTATCTTTTGCATCTCTTACGCCCGGAGTTTCCTGATTTGGTTTTAATTTTATTCTCGGTGTGAGAGGATGCTGGGAGACGGAAAAGATCGGTTGGATAAAAGAACCAACTGCTTTTGTCGCTGTGTCCCTCATTCGTGTTTTTTAAGTTAAGTTACGGATGGAAAGACGCGAGCTTGCCGCGGTGAGGGTTTCCTTGAGAAGGGAATTAATCATCCGGATCAAATCCTCTCTCTTCCAACCGAACGAGACGTGCAGCCTTTTGGTAAAGAAAGCCCCAATCCAGAGAGCAAAGTGTC